ACAAAACTATGACACCGCCTAACAGACTAAACAAGGCTGTTATACGAGATAATAATTAGACATGGACATTGGCCAATGCCCCGCGATACCCTAGCCTGCACCTTACGTGCGATCGAGGCTTTCTTCTGACCCCAGGCGACACTCTGGGCACGTCACCGTAATAACGTGTAATCTCGCCTTTCTTCCCGGTTTTCCCTTAATAGCAGAGTCCCGTGGGAATTTCTTGCGTCCAGTCTTACGGACAGGCTTTTCCAGTCTGTGTTACCTTTGGTAATGCCTTAAAAAAAACCACAAACAAACAAACCAATGAACCAAAACAACCAAAAAAAAAACCCCACCAGGGCTCTTACTCCAAACTCACCAGATCAGGGGTTCGGAGGATCTCCCCGAAAAACACTTAGGCAACGCCAGAGTCTTCACAATCCCATGGGTTCATCAAGTTCCGAGGCAGCATCCCATCCGGGTTGCCGAAATTCTCTACTGAAATCTGCAACGAACCCTCCTTAACGCCAGGTTTAGCGTTAACGCATCGGGATTACTTTATCCGGCCAGGTACGCGAGGGAATCATTCCGCCTAACTCGCCTGTCGATAAAGTTACCATAGCCAAAGCTCATATCATCCCGTTATATGCCTATTCATTAACTCATTATCGTCGTTATATAACTATTACCTGTGCGATTTAGGTCCCTGAGGGGCTTCCACGGAGGTCCTCGGCGGTCTATAGCAGTTTCTGGAGAGGATCCTTTCTCGAAACTTTGTCTAGGTTTTAGAATGGGCCTTTCTTTGGTTTACGTCTGCACGTTCTTACATCCCGCCTGCCTTCAGCTAGTTTGTTCTTTTTCAGAGGGCCTTGACGTTGAAGGATGAGGGCTTCCTATTAGGAGTCTCTCAATTTGACACAGAGCCTCTCCACATACGCGTTTCCGGGGAGGGGTTTTATCACGCTCACCTAGCCGAATGGATCTCCGTGTGACAGATCACACGTCATAGGCGTTTGAACCGATCGCTTAAGTTTTTACGTTACGCTAAAGCAATTTATTTTGCTTGGCCATTTTGCAACAGCGGTGTTTCGGTTTGCCATCGGTATTTTTAAATTCTTTGTCTCTTCATCCCTGGGCTTTTACAATTGGCTTGTATCTCGGTCACCGCATTTGTTTTTAAATTATTTGTCTCAGTTTTCCTCGTTGCTGACCTCTTAAATTTTATTTCTACATCTCCCCTGTAATTTGCCATCAATATTTCTTATTTATTTCATTATTTCTTTATTAACCATCGCTTTTAATGTACCCTGGCTACCTGTATTCCATTCGCGTTTTTTTCAAATTATTTTTTGTCCTTTGTTTGTCTCCACACCCACGTTCCCTCCGCTCCCGGAGCCCTCTCATTCTCGTCACGACGTCTCTCGAGACAATCCTCGTATCTGACAGCACCGTTTGAGCTCCACGGCTCCCGCGTACATCTCTTACGACAGATCCCTTCCTCGGGCTTTGTCCACACCCCAGAGCCATCTTACTTAATCACCGCCATTTCGGATGCATCCGTTTGGTCGGTCGTCCCCCGAGAACCGTACGTTGCGGGGATGCCTTCCCTAGTTAAGCATCCCGTGCGAGAGCCGTCTTTTATGTTTTGCTCTTCTCCGATGTCAGCGTGCCTCCCGAGGCCGTCCTCGTGCTCCGCCGCCCTTTATCGGCTCTGCTGTCAAAGTACCGAGGCCTGAACGACAGGTCTCGAGCCAAAGTCACCCTCTAGACGAATCTCACGACCAAACGTGTTATATATGACCGTATCCAATCATTAGTGAAATACGTAGCTTGGATAGAACATCTCATTATCGAGATAAGTACTTAGATAAAACAGTACATGAATATACCGACATTTCCTAGTTTAGGAGCCAATTATTGAGGTTGATTACACAAACTCCCTCGGTTCCTCTTATGTTGACATTTCCTAGTTTAGAAGCCCATTATCGAGGTCGAATACGCAAATCCCTGGTTCGTCCTCGAGCCTCGGCCAGGCTCGGGAAAGAATCCCAAAGGAGATGACGAGGCGACTCAATCCACCTGATGTCTTGCTGCATTTTGTCAGTTCTACACGTTTACAGATTTGTTTGTTAACCCATCTAAAACCGGAACCCTCACTCAGCAAAGAGAGACCTGTCCACGAGCGGACGCACGTGTAGGACTCGCCAGTTGCCGGGAAAGTCTCTCCGATCCTTCGTCGTGACGGGGCTCCCTGGCTGAAGCACGGATCCAGGCGATGGTAAAGCACGAGGACGATCGGCGATGTATCTTTCTTAATCGCTATGACTCATCTGGTATATAAGGACTGGACACATCGCCTTTTTTAAGCACCTCGTTTCTTACCTATCGCTTATTACCTCGAGACAGCCAGCAAAATAAGCCTATCTCTTTAGCTCAGCTTTTGCGCCCTTTGCGTTAACCCCATCGATTGGCAAAACGGCGGCGCTTTGTGCCCTCCGCGTGCCAAGAGGACCTTTCCGACACTATAGTTTGTCTGCAGAAAGTTCACGTCTTCCTCTACGGTAGCTAGGACGCGTCTGTTCCATCCCCGGTGCTCAGAGAGCACGCGTAGTCCATTCAGATCCCCTCCAGACTTCCCAGAGGAGGGATTCTCGTAGGATCTACCCCCACTTTCATTTAGTTCCATCCACAGCATAATTCCAGTAGAAGCTAGCTAGCGTGCGCAGTCTCGGTAGAAACGAAGCGTAACCCTATAGCATTTTGGTTGTTTTCTTGGAAACTAAAGCACATCGTTGTCGATAAGAGTATCGCTATTGCCTTTATTCAACTCTTTTGTTACAGAGCCTAATCAAATACCCATCTTTTTCTATGTATACCCTGGAAAAATTAAGCAGAACTCCCTACCGGGTCGCATCGCCGACACAACAGGCCCAGTAAAAGAGGGTATAGTCATTTCTGGTAAGAGTCGCTTTCTCCACAGAGCGCTACGTGTGTTGTAAACTTCAGGCAGAGGAGAAAATTCCCCTCTGCTCCTCTGGCTGACTTTATACCTGTGGGGGTTGGCCCCGCCCCTTTCCCAGGGGATTGTGGGCGGGCGGTGGGCGGGGCCCGGGGTATATGAGCCCCGCTGCTTGTCAGGGAGCTCATTCCACTTCTGGGTTTCTCAGGTGTCAGTGCTCTCTCAGTCCTTTCAGTCAGTAGCAGCTTTTGAGCCATTTAAGCTTGTGAGACAGATGTGTTTTGATCTCTAGAGGAACAGAGTCATTTGAGGTAAGATTTTCTGGACCGGTCAAGGTTCAGCATCATATATAGGAGATAGAATGTTTATATGTAGTTTGTTTTTTTTTTTTTTTTTTTTTTTAGTTTACATTAGTAATTTTGTTTGGGAGGGCAAGATAGTTTAATAAAGCGTATTGTTTAATTTTAATTCTAGGAAGGAGCATGGTTTCTTTCTAGTCAATTGAGGAGAGGAGGATTTTGTATGGTTTTGAGATGGGGTGAGAGGAAAGCTATGCTGTTTTTGATGAGGAGGGTGTTGCAGGTGAGGTGCTCATCAACCAATAACGTCCTTATGACTCACCCTTTTCTATGCAGATGGCAAAGAGGAACTCAGCAACTGTGGGAATAACCTGGTTACCCAGTGCGTTGTTGTTTCAAGAATGGATTCAGATTCCTGGCACCGTAAAAATAAGTCGAGGGACCGGTGCTTGGGAGAAGGCTCTGGGGGGCAGCCCAAGGTTGGGAATTGCAGGGAGAAGTTTTAAAGTTAATTTACGGGAGAGGGCCGTGTAGGAACAGTGCTCTTTGGGCAGCAGAAGCGGGGGTGGAAGGCATTTCTTTTCAGCACGAAGTTAGCACATGCCAGGAAGCACAGTTCCGGCCTGTGTCGTCGTGTAGTCCGTGTTGTCTGTCTCGTGTGTCTTTAGACTTTTCTTGGGTCTCGACATCCTCGTGGCTCTTTGAGCTCAAGGAGCACAGTAGTTGCCTCGGACATCTTTCCTTGGGCCCGGAACACCCATCCTCATCGGCACGGTGCCAACCAGGCAGTTCTTGCTTTTGCTTTACTAGCCTAAAGCGTGGCTAGGTCTCAGAAGTTTCCGGTCAGCTGCGTTTGCAACGTCGTTCCGGGCTGCGGTAGTATCTCTGATCTAGAGAGATCCATCTTCACAAATATCTTTTCTGGGAGTTCTTCCCAGCATCTTGATGTTCTTAGGTCTTGAAGTGAGATTACTTGCGCCTGCCTTATCCTGTGGAGGCTATAAGGTTTTCTCTCAGGCCACAACACTTGACTCTTCTCGGCCTGCCGTCCATTCTTCCTCACGGCCCCGTAGGTCGTCTTGTCCGAGAGCATCTCTGATCTGAGTCTTTCCTCTTAAAGAGCTTATTTTATGTCTCTAGTTTTGTTTGTGTGCCGTGTCGGTCTGTGCGTGTTTGTCTCTGTCGGAGCTGCTCTGCCTGGGTGCGTAGAGGTGACAGTCAGCCAAAGAAGTACAGTAAGGTTCTATGTGAATAAGCCTAGACTTTGTAGGGAAAGGGTGTACCGTCCATTTCAGAGCAACTAATTATGTAGCCAACAGGCAAGGAGAGTTCTTTCTGTAGCACTATGCAGACACTCGGGGGATGAGCAGAGTTTTATTGACAGCAGGCTGTAGAGAGAATTGGGATGGTATACCTAAATGAAAATGGTATCTCTGTAACTGTTAAGCTATGCTCCGCATCCAGGTGACTCATTCAATATCTCTTTTGCAGATGAAGAGGGATGACTCGCTCACCTAACGGCAACAGAGGAGACGAACGGAGCAGTTTAAGAAGGTAGGTTGGCGTGCATCGTCGGGGGAAGATGCGACCGGTGGCTATATGACTAGCCGATGGTGCGTTTTACTTGGAAGGTGCAAAGCGTCGAGCAAAGCGAGGTATCGGCACCGGAGGGGATGTGGGCGAGGAGAGATGTGACTAGAGGGCTGAAGCAGCAGTTACTTTTCAGGTGTCTTATAGGTGAAGGTAAAGTAAGCCTCGTCGCTTGTCTTGCAAGCGGTACCCGAGCCTCAACGTGACGACCTGTAAACAGTAGAGGTGGAGCGGGTGAGCACGTAAACCAAGGGAAGGGAGACGGTTATCGGTATGGGTGGAGTGCAGTTTTGGGCAGCATCTTGGCAAGTGCTGCTACTTTGTTTTTTTGCAGGTGACGCACGTAGCCTTGGAAGGGTGAAGGAGCGTACCGATGACCAACCTGAGAAGGTGAGGCGGTCGTCAGCCAGGTCCGAGTTTAATAGTGTAGTCTTATATGGCCACTCGGTTAAACAATTACCTTGGTTTTTCAGGTGCCAAGTGAGCCACCTTTGGGATCATCTGAGCATTGAAAAGCAGCCGGAGTAGTAGCAAGGATGAGCACGGGGTCAGCGACTTCTCACAAGCGCAAGGGAAACTTTGTCTCTCAATAAGTTAGGTACCACAAGCGACAACCGCAAGGCTGCAGCACCTGACTCCAAAACGAGCAGGTGAGAGGGACACCGCGATGCTTTTGAGGATGGGGGGTGTCGTGGAAGAGGTAAGCAGGGAGCAGCGTGATACTGACCAGCAGTTGTGCTCTTCTTGCTTTTTTGCAGGCGATAAAGGAATCTGGCCACTGCAGGAACGTGCTAGTTAGCTGCTGTGCTGCTTTTGTCGAGGATGGAATGGGATCTCCGGCCCTCTGAAAGCTAAGTCGAGTGAACGGGGCCGAGAGGAGAGGACGAGGTTGGGAATTGCAGGGAGAGTGTTTGAAAGTTAGCACGGGGGAGAAGGCTGTACGGGAGCGGGGCCCCCGGTCAGGTAAAGGGAACGGATTACTTTTCCCCTCGATGTTAGCGTGTCCCGGGCAGGGCAGTTCCCGCCTCTGCGTGTGTCATCGTGTAGTTTGTTTCTTCTGTCTGCCGTGTCTTTGCCCTTCCTCGGCTCGAAATGTCCTCACGTGTCTTTTGTGCTCGAGGAGCACGGCTTGTGCCTGAGGCGCCATCCGTAGGGTATCGAACGCCCATCTTCATCGGCACGCTGCCGATCGGGTGCTTTTTATTCTTGCGTTATAAGCTTGAAGCGTGGGTAGGTCTTGGAAGTTTCCGGTCGGGAGTCTTTTGCGCAGCATCGTCGCCGGCTGCGGCAGCAGCTCTGCTCCTTAGGCATCCAGTTTTCACGGACCGCGACGTCTCCCCTGCATCCCTCCGTCCTAGGATTCGGACTCCTACTTCTCATCCACCGTCTCGGTTTTGACGGTAGCTTCTTACAACGGGCCATAACGGGTGACTCTTTCTGGGGCTGCCGTATAGCCTCCTCGCCTCCCTGTTGTGGCCCTCTAGGTCCTTCTCGCCTGACATGGTATCTTGTCTGAGAGTCCTTATCGCTTCGAGTTTATCTTGGAATCAAACCTTTTGTAGCGTTTAGCATTAGTGTACGCGTGTGCCTGTTTGGCTCAGAGCTGCCCTGCCTGGGGGGTGTAGAGTCAGGAGTAAGTAGAACGGCAGTAGAAGTCAACGGTTTAAACGCTGATACGCTTAACCGCCTAGGCGACAGACGTACGGTCACCTCGCAGTAGCCACCACAGGCTGTGCGGGCCGGTCATTTCTAGGGCGTTTCATGGAGACTGTTGGAGCGGTGTGGGAGCGGCTGTCCAGCAGTAGCAAATGAGATGGAATCTCAAAGGTGTTAAGGCTCGTAGGTGTGGGAGCGTACTCTCTGGGGGAGGCGCGTGGTTTTCTTTTTAACAACAGGCTGTAGTTGGGATGCCGGCTAGTATCCCTAGCCGGAAGTGACACCTCCGGATTTGTTAAGCATCCGGGTGACTCGCACAACTGTTTTGACATGCAGATGGATGAGATGCGCACCAAAGAGTGACGGGGGAGGTGAGCGGAGGGCTGTGAGAAGGTGGGTCACTGAGCGGTGCGGGAGGGAAGATGGCACCGGTGCTATCTGAGGGGATGATAGCGGTGCGTGGTGTGTTTTGTGGTGTTTTTTGCTTGTTGTTTTTGTTTTTTAGATGGAGAGCCACAAGGCAAAGTAGGATTTCGGCACCGGAGGCAGCTTGGGCGAGGTGAGCCACGACTAGGGGGGTTAAAGTAGCAGTTCTTATTTTAGGCATCCAATTGTCGGTGAAAGTAGAAGCATCCCTTGTGTACGTGTGTTACAGGTGGCACACGAGCCTTGACGTGACAACTGGAAACAGCAGCGGCAGGGCAGGTGAAGGGCCGAGGTAAGGGAGCGGGAGATGGGGATCCGTGCGGGCAGACCCCAGTTTCAGGCGGTAACTCGGCACGTGTCTTTTCCTTGAGTTTTTTGCAGGTGCCGCAGATGGCCGCGGAGGGGCCGAGCCGCACGCAGACCGACAGTCTGAGAAGGTGAGGCGGTTGTCAGCCAGGGTCGGTGTCTAATACGGAAGTATCGTAGGACCCGCTCGTTGAGCGCTCCGCCTTGTTTTTCGCAGGTGCTTTGGGAGCCGCCTTTGGGATCGGATGAGCGTTTGAAGCGAGCCGGGGTAGTCGCAAGGAGGATCGTGGGTGACTCGTTAGAAGCGCAAGGGTAACTTTGTCTCTCGGTATCTTAGGTAACGCCAGCGACGACGGCTGCAGCATCTGACTCTGCAAAGAGCCGGTGAGCGGAACCCCCGCGACGCTTCTGAGTACAGGGGGGCGTCGTGGAAGAGGTAGGCACGGAGCAGCGCGATGCCAGACGGCCGGTTGTGTTTTCTCCCGTTGGTGTTTTCTTGCAGGTGAAGAGGAAGGCGTCAACTGCAGGAACGTGCTAGTTAGCTGCCGTGCTGCTTTTGTCGAGGATGGAATCGGACCTCCGGCCCTGTGAAAGCTAAGTCGAGCGAACGGGGCCGAGAGGAGGGGCCGAGGTTGGGAATTGCAGGGAGGTGTTTGAAAGTTAGCATAGGGGGAGAAGGCTGTACAGGAGCGGGGCCCTGAAGGTCAGGTAAAGGGAACGGATTACTTTTCCCCTCGATGTTAGCGTGTCCCGGGCAGGGCAGTTCCCGCCTCTGCGTGTGTCATCGTGTAGTTTTGTTTCTTCTGTCTACGTGTCTTTGCCCTTCCTCGGCTCTAAATGTCCTCGCGTGTCTTTGTGCTCGAGGAGCACGGCACGTGCCTGAGGCGCCATCCCTAGGGTATCGAACGCCCATCTTCATCGGCACGCTGCCGATCGGGTGCTTTTTATTCTTGCGTTATAAGCTTGAAGCGTGGGTAGGTCTTGGAAGTTTCCGGTCGGGAGTCTTTTGCGCAGCATCGTCGCCGGCTGCGGCATCAGCTCTGCTCCTTAGGCATCCGTTTTCACGGACTGCGACGTCTCCCCTGCATCCCTCAGTCCTAGGATTCGGACTCCTACTTCTCATCCACCGTCTCGGTTTTGACGGTAGCTTCTTATACGGGCCATAACGCGTGACTCTTTCTGGGGCTGCCGTATAGCCTCCTCGCCTCCCGGTTGTGGCCCTCTAGGTCTTCTCGCCTGACATGGTATCTTGTCTGAGAGTCCTTATCGCTTAGAGTTTATCTTGGAATCAAACCTTTGGTAGCGTTTAGCATTAGTGTATGCGTGTGCCTGTTTGGCTCAGAGCTGCCCTGCCTGGGGGGTGTAGAGTCAGGAGTAAGTAGAACGGCAGTAGAAGTCAACGGTTTAAATGCTGATACGCTTAAACCGCCTAGGCGACAGACGTACGGTCACCTCGCAGTAGCCACCACAGGCTGTGCGGCCGGTGATTTCTAGAGCGTTTTATGGAGACTGTTGGAGCGGTGTGGGAGCGGCTGTCCAGCAGTAGCAAATCAGATGGAATCTCAAAGGTGTTAAGGCTCGTAGGTGGGGAGGCGCGTGGTTTTCTTTTTAACAACAGGCTGTAGTTGGATGCCGGCTAGTATCCCTAGCCGGAAGTGACACCTCCGGATTTGTTAAGCATCCGGGTGACTTGCATGACTGTTTTGACATGCAGATGGATGAGATGCGCACCAAAGAGTGACGGAGGAGGTGAGCGGAGGGCTGTGAGAAGGTGGGTCACTGAGCGGTGCGGCAGGGAAGATGGCACCAGTGCTATCTGAGGGGTGATAGCAGTGTGTGGTGTTTTTTGTTTGTTGTTTTTTATTTTAGATGGAGAGCCACAAGCAAAGTAGGATTTGGCACCGGAGGCAGCTTGGGCGAGGTGAGCCACGACTAGGGGGGTTAAAGTAGCAGTTCTTATTTTAGGCATCAAATTGTAGGTGAAAGTAGAAGCATCCCTTGTTGTAAGTGTGTTACAGGTGGCACACGAGCCTTGACGTGACAACTGGAAACAGCAGCGGCTGGGCAGGTGAAGGGCCGAGGTAAGGGAGCGGGAGATGGGGATCCGTGCGGGCAGAACCCAGTTTCAGGCGGTAACTCGGCACGTGTCTTTTCCTTGAGTTTTTTGCAGGTGCCGCGGAGGGGCCGAGGCACACGCAGACCGACAGTCTGAGAAGGTGAGGCAGTTGTCAGCCAGGTCGGTGTCTAATACGGAAGTATCGTAGGACCGCTCCGTTGAGCGCTCGCCTTGTTTTTGCAGGTGCTTTGGGAGCCGCCTTTGGGATCGGATGAGCGTTTGAAGCGAGCCGGGGTAGTCGCAAGGAGGATCGTGGGTGACTCGTTAGAAGCGCAAGGGTAACTGTCTCTCGGCATCTTAGGTAACGCCAGCGACGACGCCTGCAGCATTGACTCTGCAAAGAGCCGGTGAGCGGAACCCCGCGACGCTTCCGAGTACAGGGGGGTCGTGGAAGAGGTAGGCATGCAGCAGCGCGATGCCAACGGCCGGTTGTGTTTTCTCCCGTTCGTGTTTTCTTGCAGGTGAAGAGGAAGGCGGCAACTGCGGGAACGTGCTAGTTAGCTGCTGTGCTGCTTTTGTCGAGGATGGAATCGGACCTCCGGCCCTGTGAAAGCTAAGTCGAGCGAACGGGGCCGAGAGGAGGGGCCGAGGTTGGGAATTGCAGGGAAGTGTTTGAAAGTTAGCACGGGGGAGAAGGCTGTACGGGAGCGGGGCCCTCCGGTCAGGTAAAGGGAACGGATTACTTTTCCCCTCGATGTTAGCGTGTCCCGGGCAGGGCAGTTCCCGCCTCTGCGTGTGTCATCGTGGAGTTTGTTTCTTCTGTCTGCCGTGTCTTTGCCCTTCCTCGGCTCGAAATGTCCTCACTTCTCTTTGGGCTCGAGGAGCACGGCACGCGTCTCAGGGGACATCCCTAAGGTATCGAACGCCCATCTTCATCGGCACGCTGCCGATCGGGTGCTTTTTTTATTCTTGCATTATCAGCTTAAAGCGTGGGTAGGTCTTGGAAGTTTCCGGTCGGGAGTCTTTTGCGCAGCATCGTCGCCGGCTGCGGCATCAGCTCTGCTCCTTAGGCGTCCATTTTCACGGACTGTGACGTCTTCCCTGCATCCCTCCGTCCTAGGATTAGGACTCCTACTTCTCATCCACCGTCTCGGTTTTGACGGTAGCTTCTTATAACGGGCCATAACTGTTGGGAAAATGTTGCAATGCAGTGCTGCTGCACAAGCTGTTCTATCAGCTCTGTCCCCTGTATAGCCCCAGCCCAGGGCTGCAAGCACAGTCAACTGAATAGAGCATCAATAAAATGTTGTAACAAAGGTAATGGTGGGCCTGACAGTTCAAAGGATGTTGATGTATGAGAAACTGGCCCTTAGCTACCGAAGCAATGGGAGATCTATCATTGTGACTACTAAGAACTGAGACGTACAGAACTTGAGGTAATCTCCCTTGAAG